CGGACACGACATCCCTTTCCCTATTCACGCACTCGTGGGTCGAGTCATCACTTCTCACGTGAATAACACTTCTATGGGTTTGTGCTATAAATCGGTTCGCATTATACGTGGTGTTGGCGTACGTCCCGATCTGGACTACCGGTCCCGTCGACGTGCGTTTCACCGGTACAGCTGGTGGTGTCTTGACTACCGGTGCTGTGGCCGTTGTCCCACCGTTGGTGAGCACCGGTGGCTGTGGGGTCGCACCGGTAGTTTTGGCGCCGGTGTTAGCGATTGGCAACGATTTTGACTCTTTGATGGTTTCCTTTACAGTCATAGGATTTGTAGGATTTGGCGACACTTTCGGCGCTGAGCTCTCACTGGGAGTCGTATGACATGACTGGGAGTCGTCGGCACCGGTAGCCCTATCCGTGTCCCCAAACATACGCCGGTGCGCTCTCCGGAACTCCTCCATCAATAGCTCTGCAAATATAAAATATATAATTTAGATAACTTCGAGTTAGCCCAGGTACTTATTTTATAATATTGTTTGCATAATTAATAATTAAATTAATAATAAATTACAGTTTTGAATGCATAACTATCAAATGTGAACAATATAAGTAAGCATTACAAACAATTTTTAATTAATTGTTAAATTAAATGTTTTAATACTATTATTAATTATAAATTTGCGAACATAATTAATTAAAATATTAATGCACATTAAACTGTAAATTATACTTTAAAATTAATAAACTTAAAATTAAAATTGTATTTTATAAATATGGTCCATTTGAAACTTAACCATTCATTTGTTAGCTTTTAACACTTTTTTTTGAATACTTCCTTGTTAAATCTACAATTAACACTAATTCAATACAGGTTCAATACGTACCATGCTGCTTATGTTTATCATCCTTATTATTATCCCCTTTATTGGCCACTAATCTGTTATTAGGGATGACTTTGCCATTCATTTGCGGCCCATTCGTGGATCCCTTTCCATTGGTGTCGGTGCTGTTGACAGGTCTGAGCATTCGTTTGTTGTGTTCGCCCATGGCTTTGATCTCATCCAAGAAACCTATGGATTGGGAACCACTGGAACTGTTCGATACACTACTGATACTACAGTTGGACAGTGAGTGGCACTCATCGTATTGTTTCCGTTTCTCCAACTCTTTCCTAATTATATAATAAACAGTAATTCATAAGTAAGTAATAATTAAAAATTATGGTCACTTAATTGAGTTTAACATAACTGTATTAACTTAAATTCTAAATTCAACATACTAATTTTAAATTTCGCACGAACTGTAAATTTTGTTAAATTATTATCAACAATAATTAGAAATTTTTGTTTTATTTAAACATGGCCTTTATGAGATGTCTGATATTTGATTATAAAATTCACTATAAGTCTTATACTCATATATTTTTAAACTAAAATTCTATAAATCAAATAAATATAACATTCATAATTTATTTCTGTAAACTAAAATTAAAATCTCGAATACCAAAAATTACCACATCACATTACAAAATTCATACTAATTATAACTATAACTAATTATAAACAATCAACAGGCTTATACAGTAATTATGTATAAAAATCTATATAGTAACATAAACTGTTAAACTAAATAAATTATTTTACTATAACAACATAAATAAACTACTGTATTAAAGTATGGGTGTTAAAACATTCAAATTTTTAATAAATAATATATAATATTAGACAACATTCATAATGTTAACAACTATTTACATAATTAATATCATCCATAAACTATACATACTTTTCGAGCTCAAGCTTCTGAAGCTCGAGTTTGAGTTTTTGTTGCTCGAGCTCTAGCTTACGGCGCTCGTCGGCCAGCCTTTCCTCCTGTTGTTTCACTTTCTCCAGTATTTTGAGCGGCGATTCAGTCGACGACACATCCATTTCCACGCAATTATTGTTACCATTAATTGAATTCATTTTACTATTACTCAGACTATTAGCCATAGAGTGGACAGTCGTCTCCACACAGTTGGCGTCCATTTCGCTCAATGAGTAGTCGTTATCTGATATAATCGTATTGTTGGCGGACTTCCCGTTCCCCACGAGACCAACGCCCGGCGCTGAGCTACAGGTGCTTATGCTTGACGACCGGTGCGACCCATTAGAGCTGCCGGTGCTTAACATTCTTGTGTGTCCGTTGCCGGGGTTACCGTTGAGCACCGGGTGCTGGTGTACGATAGCCGTCACCTTTTTCTTGTTTTGTACGCTATTTACACAATAAATACAAACAAATAATTAGTTTATCAGGAAATTAATTGCTATATAAATAACATTAATACATATAATTTAATAGTAATTAGTGCATGCTAATTAACAATCATATTTTGCATCATAGTAATTAACAATCAGGATAGGTCTGATTATTATCGAGCTAGATGTGTATAAACATGTATAGTAATCTTTTTGAAAAATTAAATTAAATTAATGTATAACAAATAAATTGATTAAAAATAAATATTAAGCAAATGGTCAAACTGTAATTATATCACAATATAAATAAATTGTAAAATATTTTATAAAGCTATGAAATATACTGGAGAATAGGAAGTTATGGTTTTATTATTTCTATTTATCAATTTTGTACAATTATCTCGGTTATATTATTTTGGACCACTTTTAAACCGGTAAATTAATTCTATTACGATAAAATAATTTTTGTAAACTGGTAGATTTATATTTGAAATATTTACTGTATTAACATAAACCTGTAAACACATAAAATAGATAATATTTTATTAAAAATAATTTTAATTTACTTATTAATGGGTTAGAAATGCTGTGCACATTATAATTTTGTTTTTACTTGTATTATTACCTAGCTTATATTTTTATTAATTATTCACAACATTTAGTATATAAAATTAATAAATTAATAAATGTCTCATTTTTTACAATATAAACTTACAAATTATTAATGAAATGCTAAATATAACCGTTTATAATCCAGGTAATTAATTATAACGAGAGGCTATTCAACCCATTTCACAAACATCTTAATTAATAATTTCAGACAAAAATACTTTTTTATCAATAGTTTTTGAAAAGCGGTTAAAATAAACACAAAAAAATATTATTAATAAATAAAATAGTTCTCATTGTTATATAAATAGACCATGTTCAATAAAAATAAAACACTTTTACTAAATATTTTTCATTTTTCCCATTCATTACTAGTATTAACAAATCAATCATTAAATTCAATAACTATAGCAAACATTAAGCTAATAATAAAAATGAAAAATTTGAAACACATTTTTATGCTTGTTTAAATGTGTTTTTGTCTGAAATAAATTCAATAAAGACTTATTATAATAATCAGGAAATGTTTAATCAATGGATTAAATAGCAAAAAAATAAACACTTTCATTTATTATGTATTTTAAGATAATGTTTAATTAATAATTATTTTTGTTGAAAGTAAGTAAATATTAAACTCAAAAAATAATAATCCGATTACGAGATTAGGTTTTGATTTTCAAATAGGCTTAAAATTAATATTTATTTTTGATTCATTACGTTTACTTTAGTTTCCTTATTTAAAATAATTTTTTTACATTTCTGCTAGATTATTTGCACTTTTTTCTAAAGTTTTACTTATTAATTTTAAAAATATATAACGCTAATTTTTGTATACACATAATATATACAATTATCATTTATTAATTAAATCCTTATGTAAGCTGTAATATAAAAATAATACTTTAAAATACTATATCATAAACTTAATGCCTTATGTCTATGGGGAGTGCGTAGATCGCTTTGATAATTTTAAATTGACCAGTAACAATTTTTAAAAATTTGTAATACAATTTGAGTAATTATAATCTACATGTTTACTATATTATAAATTAAATATTAAAACTACAAATAAAACTATGATACATACAGATTTTAACTACAAAAAAACAAATACTTACTAATTATTGTTCAGTTTATTATTAAAATCGTTGTTATTGTTAATGTGATGATTATTATTGCTACAAATGGAGGTCCCATTCCCACTACCGGTGCCGTTGGTGAACAGTCCCTTTCCGGCCCCCTTCCTCACCATCAAAGTCAATAGGTTTTGATTTTCAAATAGGCTTAAAATTAATATTTATTTTTGATTCATTACGTTTACTTTAGTTTCCTTATTTAAAATAATTTTTTTACATTTCTGCTAGATTATTTGCACTTTTTTCTAAAGTATTACTGATTAATTTTTAAAAAAATATAACGATAATTTTTGTATACATATAATATATACAATTATCATTTATTAATTAAATCCTTATGTAAGCTGTAACATAAAAATAATACTTTAAAATACTATATCATAAACTAAATGAAACATGTCTATTGGGATTACTTACCAGTTACTAGTACTAATTGGGATTAATTATTTAAATTGACCAGTAACAATTTTTAAAATTTGTAATACAATTTGAGTAATTATAATCTACACGTTTACTATATTATAAATTAAATATTTAAACTACAAATAAAACCATGATACATAAAGATTTTAACCACAAAAAAACAAATACTTACTAATTATTGTTCAGCTTATTATTAAAATCGTTGTTATTGTTAATGTGATGATTATTATTGCTACAAATGGAGGTCCCATTCCCACTACCGGTGCCGTTGGTGAACAGTCCCTTTCCGGCCCCCTTCCTCACCATCAAAGTCATGGCCGGCAATGACTTGAGTTTAGTGATGGCGTCACTGAACTCCATGTGCAACACGTCGACGCCGTTCACGGCTATGATCTGATCGCCCACTTCCAGCCCACTCTGGGCCGCGATTTCGCCGCTTTTCACGCTTTGCACGAAAATACCTGTCCGTATGGGATGGCCATAAAAATTATTATTATTATCAGGGTATTAATTCAATAAAATAACATGATGATTGGATATGCCAGTTACTTAATAAATAGTTAATATTACTATACTAGGATTGTATTTTTATTTAGTAACAGTTCGTAGTGTTTAATACTTAATTGATATAAATTACCCAGATAATAAAATATAAAATATACAGAGACTATACTGTGATTCCCCAGCAATATATTATTAATATAATTCAGTAAACATTTAGCTAAAAAAATTTAAACTAAAGTTTTAACTAAACGCACAAACTGTTATAAAATTTTAATTGTATCTATAATTTAATCAACTAGCCAGTTAATGATTATATGGAACCATGTTTACGAGCAATTATTTATTATAACATTATTATATTATTTTTAAAACAACATCAAATTATTTAATTTAAATATAAACTCAACATAACAAGCTAAAAATTAAACTTAAAAACCTTAACAATTTTTATAATAATTTTAAAATTTAAATACCACCATAACCATGCTAAGCCTACGCCATAATGTACAGTATTCATCTAGGCAATACAAACCTGGTGAATTAGGCGGTCCCTTAACCACAGAACAGCCCAAACTTTTGCCCTTCAAATCGATATAAACGTTGGCTTCGAGACAGTCGTGACCCTCGCTATCGCTGTGCGAATCGGACGGTGAGGTCGTAGTCCAGGGCGGCGACGGACTCCCGCTGTCTAGGGATGAGGTAAGCGAGTGGCCGCCCCCTATACCCCCGCCCGTCCCACTGGTCAGTAGTTTCCATGTGAGCACATCCGTGAGCCGGTCCCGGATGGGGATCATCCCCACGGACTTGATTTTGAGGGTCACTTTCGCCGACGACTTCACCAAAGCTATCACGTCGTCGTGTATGGCGTGCTCTA